GCGACGAGCAGCGCTGCATCGAGCACGGTCTCGGTGGCGACGCTGAGGACGCCTGCGCGCTTGCGCATGCGCGAATCCCACATCTCTACGACGCCGGTGCCTTCTGTGCCGAAGCAGAGGAGGCCGTGTGCTGGGTTGACGTCGATGGCATTGCATCCGGCGGGCTCGCCGAGATCCCCACCGCCGAGCACGAATGGCGCGAGGAAGCGGCCCTGGTCGAGGTTGAGACGGTAGACCTCTCGTCCTGCGGCGGCTACGACGGCATCAGCCGAGGGGAAGTGGTAGCCGAGAGCGCGGCCAAACTTGGGGATGCGGACGCGGGCATGTGCGCCGCCTTGGGCCTGGAGCTGGACGGTTCGGTCGGTTTGGAGATGAAGCGACTTGGTCCAGTCGTCGGAGAGCATCTGTTGCAGCAGCGAAGCAAGAAAATCGCGGCGGACTGGGTCAGCATGCCGTCATTCTATCGAGCGGATGGAGCGAAGAGCCGAGGGGTGTGGATCAGATTGCTTGTCTCAGCGTCGAGACACACGAGGGCGAGCCCTCGCATGCCTCTGCAGCTAATGTAGATAAGGTTATATTTTATGGTAGGATCATCATATGGAATGTCCGGCCCGAGGTGAACAGGAGCAAAACTTACCAAAAAGTCGACGTTCTCGGCGTCTGTGTGGCGCTCGAACTTGAGACTGAGCTGCTCGCAGTCCCACACCCTGATCTGAGGCTTGTAGGTGCCTGTGGCGACGATGGACTGACCATCGCGTGTGGCTGCAATGCGGTTGCTGGCTTCTGGGAACTCAAAGTCCTGGATGAGCTCGATGCGGGAGAGGATCTCTTCGTCCTTGAGGGCGGTCTTGCGTTTCTTGCGCTTGTTGGACGAGCCGGACCTGCGCAGGAGGTCTGGGAGCGAGGACGAGTTGAAGGAGGTACCCGCTGCGCCTGCAGAGGCAGCTCCACCGCCCGAGACGGTGTAGACACGAGCGGGCTCTACTGCTGCCGGCATGGTAGCGTGGGAGATGGGTGGAGTGTACGAGAGAGTTTTGAGATGCGCTGTCGCGAAGCTAGCGTAGCGGCTCTAGAGCCTCGTGGAGCGCAGCAAGCACATGGAGCTCGCACGGTGCGCCTGTTCGGAGTGTGCCGGGGAGGTGCAGTGGACCTTTGAGGATGGTGTCGGAGGTCAAGGTGGGTAGACAATATGATAGAGAAAGAGAAAGAGGGTCCGGCTCTTGCCTGGGCTGTGCGTCTCCGAAGGGCGATTTTTTGATCTTCCGCAGGGGCTGCAAAGCAAGAGGAAAAAAAGTTTGGAAGCAGAGCGCAGCAAAAATTCCAGCGCCTCGAGTCGGCACTCCCGACTCCCGCCATTTGGCTCGAGTTGAGCTCACTTTCTTCGCAGCCGGAAGGGCCGAACCCTCGAGTCCATCATCCTGCTCATCCTCGAACCTAAATCCTCTTTCACGCACGACGCAGCTCATCTCATCAGCCCCAATCGCACCTGTAGCCGTGTTGTCTTGCGTCGGAAGCATCCGCTGCCAGAACTGTTTGGAGTCACATTCACCACCACCAAATCTTATCGGCACACACACACACACACA